GCCTGTTTGCTTATTTATATAACATTTTCTAATTTTTTTAAAAAAAAACCCAACACACTAAAGACTGAGCCTGAGCTACTCGACTGTTCCTTTAAAGCATTTAAAATAAAACGTGGTAACCACACAGGAATGGTATAAAAACACACAGAGAGCCTCTTCGTGCACACTGTTAACCAGAAGGAGCAATGCCCCAGGAAAGTACACACACATGCCCCACCCTCAAGACCTTTCACACTTTCTTCCCTTTTTAATCTCACGTCTGCATGTGAGAAAAGGGATCAGCATAATCCCACTCTATTCTGGAAACTTGCAAGCAGAAAGCTTCAACAAATACCTAAAATAAAAGATGACTTGAGGGTAACAGAAGCAGGTGTAGAATAAAATAACTATGTTGATTAACTAAGAGCAAGACCGTAATTATTTTGCAGATCCATTTCATCTGTCAAAAAGTGATACAGTCTCAACTCATAAAATAACACATTAAACCTCAAAGGCACGATCCTCTCTCAATACATATGAACACATGCTATATAAAACAAGAAAATACATAAACATGGTTGTTTAAAAGCCAGTTGGAAAGCGTAACAACCCAAAATATACATCACGCTATCTTAACAAAATAATGTTTAATGATGACAGTTTAAGTTTCCAATTACATGACGTTCTTGAGCAAAATATCACTTCTACTTATGGCAAAAGATTTAACTGCAAAAACAACTGAAGTATTTATTCACTTATATGCCATTTCAAGATGAAAAACCCTGCCAAGGGCAACACTGTAGCACATCCTTCTCTTTTCTTTTAAAGAGCAGTAAAGGTAAAAGGAAGGTTAAAAAAAAGAAAGGTGATACCTACATCTACTGGTAATATCTAATGATCAATGAATCTGCTAGTGCAATAAATTTGCTTAAAACAAAGCTCTTCCTTTAATGTTTTTTACATAGCAGGCTCCTGATATGGAGAGGGGATGACTGATGCTGGCTGGCAATATAGCTCTATAGTAAACTACGCCAATATTACTATCAAACCGCCTCTCATGAAACTCCCTTTCTGTCCACCATGCCACCAATTTAACAAAGACCTAAACAACTTACAGTTCTAACATTCAAATAAATGCCTCTCTCCTCATCCCTATCTATGCTTATTAGAAGAACGGAAAGTCACAAGTCACTGGAACAGCCCCAGAAAATATTTTATCTGTTTACTTTCATTGACAAGATTGCATATTGAATTCAAGTGAGTCAAGGAGAAATGAAGACGAGTACCAATTCCAAGGCACAACGCTACAAGTTACACCTGACTGCAGAAGCTTGCTCACATTATGTCTACAAGCAAAAATAAAGCATTACATGTATGAAATTATGTATCCATTTTCTTCCTGTAATAAAAATACCCAGTACATCACACTACAGGGTTTTACATAAAAGGAAACTGAGAGCAAGAAGAAGTTCATCATCCATCTGGAATAAACACTACTTTCAGCTTTATAATCTCCAAAACAAATAAATTGTCATAAACCTACAAGAGAAATAAAGAAAATACAGTAGGGAAAATAAGGCAAATCCATACAGTCATAGAATGGTTTGGGTTGGAAAGGACCTTAAAGATCATCAAGTTCCAACCCCCCTGCCATGGGCAGGGACACCTTCCACTAGATCAGGTTGCTCAAAGCCTCATCCAGCCTGGCCTTGAACACCTCTCCCTTTCTCCAGTCCAGTATCTCTCTTCTCTATCTTGGAAGTAAAACCAGTTCAATCACACTCAGATTCAATCACAAAGGTAATAATCATGCAGACGTCTTATTTACCCTAAAACAGAACATGGAACTTCTTCCCCTCACAGCTGCTCCCCTGCTACAAGCAAGATCAGCTCCCAGTACATCAGGCACACAATAGCCTGTAAACAATTTGGGGCAAAGACCACCTTTTTGTTATGTACTTGCAGAACAGCAAGAATAACAATGTCCTAAACCACATATGGGGCTACCATGAACTACTTCAAGTTATTTTCTCTTGCTTCATGATCCAACCATACTCTCCAGGAAAAGCATCTGTAGTCTAAAGTTTTCTCATAATTCTGGCTAGCCAGCATGAGGCAAAAGCATCTTCAGAGGCCAGCTTCTCTTCCTAAGGACAGCATCCTGAAACAACTGACTTTATACATTCCTCAAAGCTGTGACAGTTCAAAAGTAGGACTTGCCAAGACTGATTTTGGGTGCAAAAAGCAAGAAAATCAATCTTAAAAGGCAAGAAATACAGTTAATGAAGAGTACAGAAAACATGGCGGTAATTCAGCTGCAAGCTGGAAAGAGCAAAACTAAGGATGACAGATAGAAAGGATGACGGACTGTATGACTGAGATCACCTCAGTTTTCTGAGAGAATTATATAAACAGGTTAATATTGACATTTTAAGAGAGTTAGAAATAAGAAATATACACCAACTGGTGCAACAGGTATTATATGATTTAGTAGTTTATTTTAAAAGTATATTTAGAATATGTAAAACCAATATTAAATCACAGACTCACCAAATCACAGAGGTTCAAAGAGACCTTCAGAGAGAGGTCAGGTAGTCAAACCTCCAATTCAAAGCAAGAATGGGGTGTCTGGGGTTCTTGTGTTGTTGAATTTTTAACATCTCCAAGGATGGAGATTCCATTCTCTCTCTGGACTCCTTCCAGTGTTTGAAAATCTTCATGGTAATTCCACACACACCCTCCCCCGTGCTTTTATCAAGTTGCAAATTCCCTTGTCCCAGTCTGTTCTCACTGCCTCTTTTCCTTCCATTGTGAGCCTGTTTACTAGTGAGATTCAATGACAAGGAGCTGGAGACCACTGCTCCAAGCAACTGCATTATCTTTTTATTATTTATATTAAATATTCCCATCTACACACAAATATTCCAGGAGAAGCGTGTATAATTCAGAAACTGGGATCAGAGTTCAAAACTGAAGAGGTTGACCACTACTAAAGAACAGGATAACTAACCAGCCATTCACAAACCACAAAGAATTTCAGGTGTGATTCTCAGAGTAAGGATTACCAACCACAAGGCTTTGTCGGTGAGGACCTAAGGTATAGTCTGAATTTGCAGATTCAGGCAAAAATACCTCCTAAACTTGAGATCCTGGTGTCACCTTTGGAGCCTGGATTTAGATGATCCCTCCATGTACTGTCAAATCTTCAAAGAAGTTTCTTGGCTACAACGAGGTTGGTATCGTCTACCTGTGAATCTCTCCCTGCCTTCCTCTTCATCTCAGTTCTCTGAAGTCCATAATACATAGAAGGCTTTACTCTCATTTTGCCTTTACCCTCTTCTATGATACCCTTCACTTCATTGCACAAACCTTCACTTTACTGGCTATGATAGCAAAAAAAAAAAAAAAAAAAGAAAAAAAAAAGAAGATGTAATTGGAACAGGTATCAACAGATAAATCAGTATCTTGCTATTTCACAAGTCCTGTACAGTCAGAATGTTCTTTATTTTTTTTAACTAGAATACTCAATCCATTCAACTGACAGCATTTAAAATATGATGAGGTGTCCAAGGCAGCAAAGTAATTTCAATTTCACAAACTGTGATATGTAGACATTGGAGCAGCTGTTTTTTCCATCTCATAGACTGGATTACTGGGACTTTATCTGCTAAAACTTTACCAAGATGCTTATGAACAGTATTTTCATGTCATAGAGAAATCAACCATTTAATGCCAAAGTAAAGAGGGAGAAAATTAAATTTAAAGATACAAATTCAATCTCCAAATTTGCAGTTACATATAATCTGGAAGATGGAAAGGGGTGACATTTACAAGACTATCATAGATAAAATTAAGAATTCTATTTCATAAACCATCCAGCATTTTAATGAAAAAAGTTAATTCTCAATGGAATTTTAAAATGTAGATGAAGAAAAATTAACATGTAATTACACAGTGAAATTATCATAGCTTTATTTTAAAAATCAAAGGAGGGGAGCCTCTTGTATCATTGCTACTTACAGCATCTTTTGTTAGTTTATTTTACACACTTTTTATTTCAAGCTAAGATTTCTACATTGCACCAGCATTATTCCAAAATGTTAATCAACCATGCCTGACAGAATTCCCCAGTGATCTGCAGCAAGTGCTGATGCTTCCACTAATGCCCAGTCTTGAGCAACTCACTTTTGTTAGATTTCCCAGGATGATGAGTGTGCTTTAGTTTCATCTTTCCATTTCCAGATCACCTCTCTGTGATTAACAGAGCTGAGACTGCAGACAGAACTGAGCCTACATGTTCAGCTGCATCAGCTATGGACATCCATTTTGTTCAGTGTCTAAAATCTGGGTCTTTCTCAAGCTCTGGGAAGCAGACTCATACACCATCACTTCTGATCTTAGTTAAAAACAAAACCGCTTTAAATGAATTTTAATGGCTAACATATAAAGCACAATTCAAGAACAGCAATGGATACCGAATTATGCAGTTTCACTAACTGAATGTGCAAACTGAAAACATCCAAAATAATAGCTGTAATAACAATTATTAATTTCTCCTAAGAAGCTCCCTTAACAAAGCAGCTCCAAAATGCCTTGAACTTATCTATCCTCAAATGAAATAACACGAAAAACAAAACAGTAGTGACCATGTTAGATGCAGGAGCTTTCAACAACATCTGTCTTGTGACAAAACAAAAGCAAGAAAAACCTCCAGCCTGCACTGACATCTCATCAAGAAACTGTTACTTCTTTTTAAAAGCAGAATTAATAGTTGCTGAGGTATATACACTGGCTTTACTCAAAAAAGCTGATATAAAATAAAGCCTGAAAGTGTGTGCAGATGTATTTTTGTGCATATCCCCCAAAGACTTTTCAGAAGGATGTTGTCTGATTCTGTGTTTATCTGTTTTTAACACTGTTCTCTCTGGAAGAGGGGTCAGGTGGGTTTTGTTCATTTCACACAGATCATTTTTACACTCCCAACTCCAGGGTGACTGTCAGTAGTGGAGAACAGTGCTTACCTGCTGAGCCTGGTACCTCTGCTGGGCCTGCGACAGATACTGTGCCTGGGGTGGCAGATGCTGAGGCTGCTGGTTGTAGTACGGCTGCTGGCCCTGCTGGCAGTAGCCACTTACACCTTGCTGACCATACTGAGGTGGTATCTGTTGGAAGAGCCAAGCAAAGCAAAAACGTGAGTTGAGGCACAAGAGGACATGAAATCGAGCTATGTCACATCCGTATGGCAACCTGAGCAGAAGTGATATCCTCAGCTATACACCTGACACAAAAGTCTTACTCTCTTACTTGGCAGTTAATAAAAGCCCTCAAATCCTCTTGCCTGAGCAGGAGGAGTAAGCCCAGGTGCTCTGTATAGTTACTCTTTACTCAAAGAGCTTCTAAGGAAAATGCTATGCTTCTGAACATCACAATCCCATAATGCCCACCCTTAAAATACAGCAGCAGTTATTTTAAGTGTTTGCTCTCCACAGGCACACTACTGAGGCAAATCGACAGAGGAATCGTTCTGATGCACTGACCCAAAAGTAGAACAGTGAAAAAAAAAAAAGACACAACTCTAAAATAGATACTGAAAGAGAAATGCCTTTTTTTGGAGCAATAAAGTACTAATTTTTGTGAGATTTTTTTTTTTTTTTTTGCCCACAACCCTCAGGTTTTTAGCTTTTGTGTATACATGGGTGTTTAAGCTTTACACAAAAAAAAAAAAGGGGGTTTGGCAGCTTTTTGGTTTTATTGAGTTCAATCTCTCTCAGTCTCTTCCCCTCCTCTCCCCTAAAAAACTTAAAAAAAAAAAAAAACACCACACCACACACACAACAAACCACAACCCCCAACAAAACAAAGACACCAGTGCAACAAAAGTAATCTGTTACAGGTCCTATTAACAGAGAAATCAGCACACGTATCGTGCACTAAGAAACCCGCACACACCCTGAGAATTTAAGTTACAACCAAAAGCAAGTCAATTATACAGTCAGAGGAATTTTCTGCATCAGTTTTCTCTGTAAGCCTTGTATCAATAGACATTGACATTTTCTTGGGAGACCTGAAGGACCACACTTTCAACAAACTCTTGATACTGTGTCTGTATTGCACATATTTTAGGTACCTGTGTTTTTTCCCTAAACACTGGTATTTGGTACTGTCTCAGATGAATGACAGACCCAACATAGGACTTCTCCCTTCTAGAAAGGGTCTCCCGTCGGTCCTGCATATATCCCTGCCCTAAGCAAATATCTCGGATACCCAAGCATATCTGAAATGCTTTGATCTCTGAATTGTTCCCACTGAGTCTCTGATACACCGATAAATCTGTTTACTCAACATGTAAACACATACCTGTTCTACCTAAAGTTAACTTACTACATTCATTCAACAATACAATAATATTTGCTAGACGATAATAATATAAAATCAAATTTAAACACGTGTGTAGGTTGCTTTTACTATCACAACTTGATCTATTATTTCTGCCAGAAGTTGGTAGTCCTACTTCTTTCTAACTCTTAAGGTCAGCACTGTAACCCCACTTCTGCACTTGTTCTCTTTGCTTGCGCTTCAATTTCCTTCACCATCATTTCACAAGCAGTTAGATGTTTCTGTGACCAAAGTAACCCTTTTTGACAAATACCCTCTCCCTGCTGATGCATAAATGAAGCAGTTATAATGCAAACTAAAAAGGGTGGGTTGGAATATCATCAGGCAAACAGACAGCTGGAGCCTGGGATCTGACAGAAGACCACATGGTGATTTGGCCATCAGCTGCAAGGGTCACTGAGCCTGGACTGGTTCCTAGGAAGTGCTGAGGAGAAACCTCTGTTGTGGTCCATCTGGGTCCCAGTAACACTAAGAAAAGGAAAGATAGCCTGACAGCAAAATACAGGTTTCTGTAAAGCAGAAAAAGAGAATCTGAATGCCCAGTTGACAGGCTGGTGACAAAACAAGAGATCAGATTCATCAGGAACCAGAGCATTTCTAGAATAAAGATACTTATACAGGAGGGCTGGAGCTCACCTTAACATAGGAGCCAGGTCACTAAGGATCAAGAAAGTGAAATTTTAAACCAAAGAGAAGGGTTGAGAAGAACACATGGTTTAAAAGCATGACATTGCTATGACAAATGAAGACATGGAAATTCTGGGTCATCAAGTGGAGATGCCGAGAAGAATGAAAGAACAAGAACAGACATACAGATGACTGCAGAATAAATAGAGTGGCAAGAAGAAAATCCAACAATACGTTGCCTTCTACACAAAGGGATCACTGGAACATGAAGCCTCAGACAAAAGCACTAGCAGTAGTTGTATCAGAAATCTGGTAGAAGGGAGACAATCAGTGGGTCGCTATTTTGCATCATCCTAGGATACAAATACATACGGAAGACAGCTGATGATGAAGTAATATTATATGCTACATAGAGCCTGGAAACAAATAAAAATAAAACTCCACCTCACCAAGCAGCAGAGGTCTGGAGCTTGGTCAGATCAGAAAGAGTGAGTGCTGGGACCACCTGAACGAGTGAGTGCTGGACTATGGCGACACTGGCAGCAGCATGCTGAGCAAGATCAGCAAAGCACAATACAAGACTGTAGAGGGAGATTTCAACTCCTCCCATGTAGACTGAGCAAGTGGACTACAAAGCAGAAACTGAAGTAGCAGGTCACTGACAAAGGTTGTTCCATGGAGCTGCTGCTGAGGGAGTCTGAGTGAGGAGCCACTGCCTTTGGCTCAGTCCTGAGCAGCAGGAACCATCTACTTCTACACCCCACAGCTGCAGAAATGCTATGCATCAGGGACCACAATACAGTTAAATTGGGCATCCCTACAGGAACAAGGAAAACCAAGGCATCTACCACTGTTGTGTTTAACTTCAAAAAGTGTAACTACATGAAAAGCAGAAAGCTCGTTAAAAGGAAGCTCTAAGAGACAGCTATAAGAAATAAAATTTGACTGGCAGCATCAAAGCTGCTTAACAACAACCACATGGAAAGCACAGAACCAATATTCACCACCTCTTAAGGAGGACTTGAGAAAACCAAAGGGACATCAGCATGGCTCATCACAGGTTTTTAGAAGCAAAAAGGCATCCAACAAGCTTACACCAAGTCCAAATGAGGAAAACAGAAGACTAAACTCCGGCACTTCAAATGTAATAAGGCAGTCCAGAAAGAATGGGAGGAACAGCTAGGAAAAGGAATCAAATGAGTAATCAATAATTTCTTCAAATGGATCAGGAGCAGGAGGTCTGCCAGAGAGTCTGAAGTGCCAAGTGATGATCAAGGTATAAGAGAAGATTCAGAGAAAACAGGGCCATCACAGAGAAGCTTAACAATTTTTTTGCACTAATGTACACTGCAGAAAAGTTCCCAAGAGAGGCTCCCATGCTGAAGTCCTCCTGTGTGAGGGACTCAATGAATATGTCCGAATCTGATGGGACTATTCATGGAACAAACTGACAAATGAACAGTAAAAATTGCTCAAGACCATACAGTATCACCCCAGAGGTCTATGCAAATTCAAGAATGACATAGCGGAATTACTAGTGACAGTACACAGCCCCTGACTTGGAGCTGCCTTGGCATGTGAGAATTGGAGCATGGCTTAAAAAAAAAAAAAAAAAAAGCAGAGATACGAGTAATTTAAGACTACAAAGGACTGATGACTGTTCTGGATAAATCAGGACAGACAAGAACGAACATCAGAACTAGAAAACATCAACACAGCTTTTGCAAAGGAAAATCCCTCCCTACAGACCTTGGACTTACTAGAATGGGTTAAATGCAAAGCTTCAGGAAATGCACCAAGAATGATCAAAGGTATGGAACAGCTTCCATACAAAGAAGCTATAACCCCTGAGTATGGAAGAGACATCAGGAAGTAAGAAAATGATAGAAAGCTACAAAACTATCTTGTCCAACACAACAATTAGGAGGCATTAAACGGTATAAGCTGATAGAAGCAAACTTCAGAACAAGAGAGAGAGAGGTTCTCTAGTCACAGAGGTAGCAGATGTTTGAAATTCCTTGCCAAATGATGTTTTGAAAGCTGAAGGTTTATATGTGGGCTCAAGCAAAGCCTGGACAAGTTCATAGAAGATACACCCTCTGAGGGTTACCAAATATATAGAGCCACATCTGGCTCAGGAAGTCCCTGAACTGAAAATAGCTGAAGGCTTGGAGAGTATTGGGGGAAGTAGCACATGTTTGCTTTGTTCTGACTCTTCTCTAGGTGCCAAATTAAAGCCTAAACTGGAGACAGGATACGGGGCTACATGAACCCTTGATCTGACCTGATATAGCCATGCCTGTGTTCTAACCACCTCTTTGCAATACGTATTTGTGTCCTGTGAGAAAGCAATGAAAATTCGCTGCATGAGGTAATAAGTAACAAATGCAAGCAACCTGAAGAGGCAATAACACCTTGACTGCTAGAAGCTGGGAGACTGCACCAATTTCTTAAATGTTTTCCCTAGCAATCTGCTTCCAGACACTGGTACAAAAAAGGGTACTGGGCTCTTCTCTTTCTGACCTTATGTATCCATTACTTATGTGGGAATTTTCCTCCATATTCTCCCAATTCAAACTTGGAAAAAAAAAAAAACAAACCAAAAGAACAATAAAAAACCCCTACAAAACCGCAACAATAACCCTAATGCTACATGTACGTTTAGATGCTGTACTCTTCAGTGCAGAGACCCATCACTGCTGCCTTAGCAGAACACTCAGTATAATTTCTGTGGCTATTTAAAGAAATAAACAACACCATGCAAATTAATCCTCCTGCTTTACTGATGGGGATCACAAGATACTGCTTATGGACAAATGTTTATTAAACAGCATATAAAAAAAGCTTAATTAAAATCTCCCCAGAACAAAACAAATCTGAAGCCAATTACTTACAATGCTTGGAGTGAATGACCCAAGCATCCTCTTTCTTCATAAGGTAAACCCTCCCTCCCTTTCTCCCTTACACCCACGTTCTTTGTGGCCACACAATGCAGGAGATGAGAATTTGGGAAACTTCAGCATACCTGTGGTAATGCATCCATTCTTGGGATGGTTCAGAGAGAACAGATCTGAGTTTGAACTTATTTCTAAGCAAGCACAGAAACTATAATAATTACTTTGCCTCCAATCTGACTTGT